TTCAGTAGCAAGTGCAGCAGATGTAAACATATCTATGAACACATCTGACTTTAGGCATAAAACTCAGTGAACAGGATGAACATACTATAAAGTGGTACCTAGCAGAGGCTGTATAGCTTACTGCAGTCATTAAAAAGTTTTTTCTTTAATTTCAAGAAAAGCAGTTTTAGCTTTAATAAGTCAAAACCCAACAATGTTAAGAAAAATTTGTCTAAAATCTAGTAATAAGTGCACTGTAATTTTTTTCTGAAACATTTTTTCTCTCTCCATTTCTCCTTTTACCAAAGAGGCATAAACAATTATTTTGCAAAAATAAATAAATTTAGTCTCAATTTGGTCTGTTATTTGCACAAAACCCCATAAGAATACTAATTGGTTTAGTTGACTTTGATGGAACCTTTTATAAGGAACTACAGATTAGACTCTTTAAAAAGCCTCCCAAGGCTACTGAGCCAAGTCAGGGACTCACCATCTAACTGTGTCTTTAAAGTACCTATATTTGAAAAACTTTTGGGCCTCTCAGGAAGTGACATTCTTTATTTATCTTCCAAGCACAACTGTTTATGATATCAGACAATCTTTCTAACAGTTTCTGTTGGATTTCCTGAGATCTATCTTAGTTCCTTAACTTTCTGGATGTATCTTCAGAAATGGCATTCTAGTCAAAGCTCTGGCAATAACCAGTATTTCAAATTTCTGGTTCAAGGCAACAGATATTATTGAATATACAGAAATAACCAATCTGCCACAAAATAATAATACCCACAAATATTCACTAATTCCAAAGGGGTCAAGAAAGTAGAAAAGTTTGTTTCAGTTTCCTCCCAAAAAATATTAAATTAATGAATCTATTAACAGCTTAAAAGAAGACAAAAATCCTTAAATATGGAAAACAAAGCATAGGAGAAAATCAGTAATGTTTTAGTCAAAAGTCATAAAATTCTCTTTCTCCAGTATGGTCTCATGTAATTAATTTCTCTTCTGTTGAATTTGCAGAGTCACTGAGGTCTGATTTTTTTTTTCCATTTAAATTCTGGAAGTTAACATTCAACATTTTAATTGATCTTTTCAGACTCGTCCCTATCGTTAAGTTGGGCATTTTCTTGGTTGTTTTATGTTCTCTCATTTCTGTGTGTCTGCCTTTAGTTTTCCTGGTATAGCACTCCTTTCAGAATTTCTTGAAGAGCTGGTCTGGTGTTAGTAAATTCTTGTTTATTTGAAAATTCTTTTATCTTTTCTTCCAATATGAAAGATAATCTTGTCAGGTATAGTATTCTTGGTGGAAATTGTTTTTCACTTAATGCTTTGAATACATTTTCCCATTCTTTCCTTGCTTGCATTGTTTCTGATGAGAGGTCCAATGTTAGCCTGATAAGATAAGCTTTGTAGGTAACTTAATATTTTTCTCTTGCCAATCTTAGTATTTTGTCTTTGTCTGTGGTTTTGGTCAGTCTGGCTATAATGTGTCTTGGGGAAGATCTTCTTGGGTTGATTCTATGTGGGGTTCTTTGTATTTCTTGGGTCTGGATATTTGAATGTCTCTCTAGGTTTGGAAAGTTTTCTCCCAGAATTTTATGGAATAGATTATGAATACCTTTATTAGTTTCTTCACCTTCTGGGATACCAATTATCCAGATGTTTCAGTGTTTAATGGTAGCTAGTATTTCTCATATATTAATCTCATTTTTGGGTTATTTTCTCAGTCTTTTTTGGTGATTTTTTTCTAAGTTAGAGATTTTATCTTCTACCACTGAGATTTGATCTTCTCACAATCTAATCTGATTTTAATATTTGTGAGGGAGATTTAAATTTCCTATATTACAGCCTTTATCTCTAACAATTCCACTTGATTCTTCTTTATGGAGTGTATTTCTTCTTTCAGGTTGTGGAAGAACTTCATCACCACCTGGAACTCATCATCCCCTTTCTCTTGCATCTTCTGGAGTTCATTGTGTCTCTTCTCTGTATCTCTGTTAGTTTAGTCACTATGAATATTCTGAAATTTTTGTCTAACATACCCACGAGTTCCACTGAACTGTCCATGGATAGTGAGAGGTTGTTCTTTTCCGTTCGGGGAGAGATATTTTCTTGGTTTCTCATATTTCTTGTGCCTTTGCAATGGTTTCTGGCCATCCAATGATTATATGTTTCTTCCTAATTCCTTGAAGTTAAATTCAAGTGTTCAGAGGCATGCAGGAGGAGGTGATTCGGAATCTCTCTGCATTTCCATTTTCTTTACATTCATCCAGCAACCTGCACTTTTGTCATTGGAACTGGGTATTACAAAGGCCTCCTGATTTCTGGAGAAGAGTTGCACCTGAGCTGAGCTGCAGGGTTTCAACTGAGCACTCAGAAGCATGTGGGATAAGGTGAGTCGCACTCTCTCTGCAGCTTCATCCTTCTCCCTGATGCTCACTCTGCAGTCTTTCTTCTCTGATTTTCAGTTATTTGGTGGTGTATTCACTTTTGGCTAATTTTTTAGAGGAGGTTTCTGCAACTTTAAGCTTGAGTGCTTCCCTTTACTGTGAGGTACTTTTGTACCTATTTCTCTCCTCTACTGTGTTAGCTGGAAGAGGGGGGCTGAAACTCAGGGCTACTCAGTCCTCAATTGGTCCCAGAAATGAGCAAAGCACCTCAAATGTAGATGTCTCCCTGCAATGACCTATTTATTTCATTTTCTTTGTTAATAATGAACACATTTATTGCTATGAGTTTACACAGATTCTTCATTGTCTATAAGTAGCTTGCAATTCCTTTTTGGATTTGAACTTGCTGAGATGAGATGAGGCCAGCCCCTCAAGATTTTAAGTCCAGAAGAAATTGAGAAATATCTTGCTGAAATTGAGAAAGAAAAAGAAAAGAAAAAGAAGAAAAGAAAGAATCATGATTAATAAAATCTCTTCACTTGCAGCAGTTTCAAAGTTTAAATCATAGATGATCACAAGTGATATATGACCTTTCCATTCTGTGTTGAATATCCTATAATAAACTTGCATATTTTTTAAACTTAAAAAAATATTGGCAATTTGACCATATTAAAAAGGAAATCACTTAATTACATCAGATAAAATATTCGTACCTGTGATTTGGGGCTACTCATATATTGATATTGGGAGAATCTGGATCCTATATGAAATACACTAATAATACTGAAAGTTGTGTGTTTTTATGGTATAGGGATAATATAAATAATATAAAATACCATTTCAACTCTTATGACAAAGAAATTCCAAATATGATTTTTGTGCCAAAATGTTGAGTAGGAGTCTAGCAGGTGGCATATTGGTTAAGGCACCGGACTCCCACATGGCTGACCACAGTGTTAATCCCAGACCTGGCAACTTGCTCTCTCACTTTGTTCCTCTCTCTCTCTCTCTCTCTCTCTCTCATGACTGCATGTCCTCTATAGCAAATTAAAAAATAATAATAAGTAAATAATTTTCTAAATGTTGACTAAGTAATACATTATGTAAACAAAGATGAATGTGGAGGGTGTCTTAGCAAAAGAAATATTAGAACTAATGCAAATTCGGTTTTTAAATGTGACTGTGAGCCGTGAGAGAGCAAAATGTGAAGAGAATTGCAGATGAAACCCCTCTTAACCAAGAAAGATTAAAATCAGACTTCCAAGTTAATTGTTTAAAATGATGAATAGCTTTTAAGCAGTTTTTGTGGTTGTCAGCAGGCTTAGAGACTAAAACAGTTAAAAATAAATCTTACAGAGAGTCAGCAGGTGGTGTGGTGGTTAAGGTGCTGAATTCCTATGTGGCCAACCATAGTTCAAGTTCTAGACTCAGTGTCTTGAAAATCAGGCCAGGCAGGAAAGCCTGAGAGTTCAAGAATGGTGGAGAAGAGACTATGGTGTGGCCATCCCCTGGAGAGGGGCTGTTCATTTCTCACTTTCCAACTCTATCTGTCTCTCTCCAGTGAGCACATGTGCCCTGTGGAAAAATCTGAAAATGATAATAAATTGTATGATTTATGAGAAGATGGTAAGTACTATGTAAAAAGATAAAGTGGGACAAGGATAATTAACCAGTTTTCAATAGGGTTACTAGGGATAACATCACTGAGAAAGTAATCTTTGAGCAAAACTTGAAGAATGGAGAGAAGTCACTTAGAAATATAAGGGAAGGACATTTCAGCAGAGGAAACAGCAATTGCCAAGGCCCTAATAGAGGATCATGTCTGTCTTGTCATGTTTGGGGAAGATGGAACTTATGCACATGAAACATGTAAGGTCAATATAGAAATGTGTCACAAAACAGTTCTGTAAGTTAAATAAGTGCTTAGTAGTGGGAAAATAATCCATAACACTGAGTTTTTTCCCACTAAATATCTTAAAGGAGGTAAATTTAGATCCAAATTTTTCCATGAAGTGATTAAATGGTTTGATAAAGTAAAGAGCATTTTAGATGCTAAAATGTGTTAGTTAATTTAGATTTTTACATATGTTCCATGCACATAATAAGTCATATATGTATTTTTACTTGTTTCTTTTGGGGATATTGTGTAGTTTATGTGGGAGAAGTATACAGAGGTATGAAGGATCTTCCAGATGTTCATGAAAACTCCATACTATAAAATAGCTATATAAAAAACTGTATGATTTCAAACTTTTTTGCACCAAGATAAACAATTTTTAATTCTATTTACTGTGAATTTTTTAAAATACCTTTGTATAGAGCCAGAAGATGGCATTGTGGTTAAGGTGCTGGACTGCCACCTGGTTAACCATGGTTCAAGCCCAGACCTGGCAGCTTGTTTTCTCACTTTCTCTCTCTGTATCTCTCTGACTCTCTCTCTGGTGAGTGCACATGTCCTATAGCAAATTAATAGTTAATAGTAAATAAAATATTTTTAAAAATACTTTTTATATAAATTGGCTTAGCTGGCAAGGAGTTTCTTGGATATGATCTGGCTACTACTTGAAACTGTTAAAATAGATCTTTGAAGTTATTATGACATGTTAAATAGGATTTTTCGTTTCTACATTTTAGATACCAAAATAATTTCCCTTTCTCACCTTGAAATGACCTGGGGTAGCAGAAGGAACTTGCCCACATTGCTTGTGAGGATCTTGCATAAATCAAATCTGTGATACTATGGGAAACCTGACAAAAAGACTATTGAGCCATACTAGGTACACGTAATATAAGTTATAGATGGTAATGTATAGACCTGACTTCAAATTAGGATGACTTATTTGTTTAACATTTTATAAATTCAATTTAATAATTTTATATGTGCATAATTTTATATTATAAAATATTTTTCTTTGTAATTTATTGTCCAAAAAGAAATTCTGGGTAACTGGATCCCACATGTGTAGTTCGAGTCTCAGACCCAGAAGGCTTGTAAGACACACCAGATAAGGAGGACAGCAGGTGGCATCGTACTTAAGGCACTGTACTACCACATGGCCAACTGTGGTCTGAGTCCCAGACCCAGTGGCTTGAAACTCATTCTGGGTGCATGTGTGTGTGTGTGTGTCCAAAATCCTGAGAGGAGAATGGAGGAGAAAGGATTGCATGAGGCCATCCCCCCCTTGGGGGTGATTTCTCACTTTCTCTCTGTGTGTGTCTTTGATGAGCACACATGCCCTATTGCAAAAATCTATCTAAAAAAAAAAAAAAAAACACTGGGTGCATGTGCGTGCATGCCCAAAATCCTGAGAGGAGAATGGAGAAGGGACTGCAGAGTGACTGTCCCCTCAAGGATACTTTCTCACTTTCTCTCTCTGTCTCTCCAGCAAGTGCATGTGCCCTGTGGCCAAAAGTCTTGTTTGTATGTTTTAAAAGGTAACAGACATCTGTTTGCTTTTACTCTTCTTTTTCTAGACATTTTTGGAAGTTGCATATAAATCAGGCACTGTGTCAGTGATTCTGTAGAATGTCAGGCACTGTGTCAGTGATTCTGTGGAATGTCCTGTGTCCTGAGTGGTATAAAAGTTTGCGAGTTGGTTTAGTTCTGCTTCAAGATTATTCTGTTAAAAAGAATTGTCCATTGAGGATGCATCCTGTCCCTGTGAATCCACATATCAAACTAATTTCTATAATGGGTTAAGAATTCAATGAGCTTTTTCTCTTATGGATATTTTGTTTATATAAATTTACAAAGTACCATATCAGATGAAGGACCATAAAAATTACTGAAGTTGTCAGGACATGACAAGCCTTCAAATACCTTTATCCAAAAATTATTCAAGCAATAGGGTCTGGATTGAGGTATAGCGGTAAAATGTGATGCTCTATGAGACTGACCCATATGGGAAGATTCAAGTTCAGAACCTCCCTGAATATGCTAGGCATGTGCAACATACCCATGATGCAAGACTGGCTGAGGTTAGGAGTAGATCTCAACATCTGGCCCTGTTGGGGTGCTCTTTCTCTGATTCTCCCCACCACCATCACCTTTGTCTCTCTCACAGGAAAAATAAATGAAAAAACTTTAAAAATGTTTTTTCAAGTAATCACACAGCTTAATAAATAAACTTATGTATTAAGAAAAATCACCTAAGATACTTAATGATTAAAGAAGGAGCTCCACTTATTTTTGTGTTCTTTTCTTTATTGTCATATAATCTTTAGCTAATGACTTGCATGTATTCTGTTGTTACTACTAGGTGCTATTTCAAAAGTGTTTTTGTTAACTTTTTAGTTCAAAATAATTTCAAACTTGTATTAAGGATGAAACACTAGTATAAAAAAATACCATATTCAACAATCGCTAACATTTACCTTTGTTTTATCATTCTCTCTCTCTCAAAGAGAAACATATAGTATCTATTAATATATCAAATTATTTATTCATTTAGTATATACTTCTATATTCTGTATAAATTAATAGTTAATATTCAAATTTTGCCAATTGCTATAGTCTCTAAAGGGCTTTTCCTAATTAGTATTGAAGTCAAAATTTTTTCATCTTAGAATCTCAACTATTTGGGGGGCATTTGAGTTAATATATGAAATGATTGCTTTTAGATGTACATGTGATTTTCTTCATTTTAACTTTTCGAAATTGTAAATTACATCACTCAACAAGTTTATGTATTGTTTTTGGCATATATGTAATATTTTTATTCTGCATCTTTATTTCTCTGTATTCTAAGTTTCTCAGCTGATTCATTCAACTTAATTACTTAAAGAATATTCAGATGAACATATAAGTTCATTTTTTTCTTAAATATATGTTTCTTCATTAAAATCTTAAGCCTTTTGCAGACATTGGTCAGATGTTGCTAGATTAAGTTACTACTAAATAGTTTGGAGCACCTAGTCCATTATCTTATAAGTCTTTATACAAAAGGTGAAAAATTAAACTGATAGATACTGTGATTTACTTGAGAAAACAGAGTAAAAGTTGGCAAAAGGACACTTACTCACAACATATATTGTTATGTCCACTGAATTCATAAATTATATTCCACAACCAAGCATATTCTGGTGACAAAATTGCTTTAATAAGAATTCAGATATTCTTTGTCAGTAACAGATGACTGCATTGATGACTATAATAAATCACTGGCATAGTAGAAATACAAATATAGTTCTCCTGATATCTAACCTAATGTTGGTTTTACTAATAATAGATGCATTGTTTTCTGTTGTAAAGAGAATTCATTTAAATTACGGTTTCTACATGGCTGTGGACAAATCTAAACCTTAAAAACAAGTGAAAAGCAGGAAAATAGGCAGCATGTATTCAGTAAATAAGCAGCTACTAAAAAAAATTGATGGAGGGCCCGTAGGTGTCTTGGTGGTTAAGGCTCTGGACTCCCACATGGGTGAACATGGTTCGAGTCCCAACCTGGTGACTTGCTTTCCCCCTTTCCCTTTCTTGCTTGCTCTCTCTCTTTCTGGTCAAATTAAAAGATAATAATAACAAATGTAATTAAATAAGTTAAATAATTATTTTTTAAAATTAACACTGAATTTGAACCAGACACTATACTACTTCTGCTATATAGAATTATAGGGCCAGATTTTCGTAATAGAAGCTCTCTGAAATATGAGAAACTATTTTTGCCTCCAAATAAGTAATTGCAGATCCAGAACTTTTAAAAAAATGAATGTTTTTATGACAATATACATAAAATGTGCCTTTGAGTCTTTACAACAGTGTGACTTCTTTTTTTCAAGTTTATTTCTTCCATGATCCAGAAAGACAGACTGCATCCCCAATAGGATGCTAACAGTGATCCACACCCAGCACCACCAGCCCCAGGAATTGGACATGTGTGTGCCTGGCATACTCAGAGAGATCCTCAGACACTAACACAGAACCCTGTCATGTGAGTCAGCTTCACAGAATGTCATACTTTACTACTATATCACTGTTCAGCCCCTAAAACAGTTTTACTTTATATTAGTGTCAGCAGCAGTCTCTCTTTTCTCTGATACTTTTTTTTGATAAGCAACAGGACTTTTTTCCTCTTTATCAGGAGTCAACTATTTCTGTAAATACCAAATAGTAAATATTTTAGATTTTGCATGCCATACAGTCTCTTTTTCAACTTAATCAGCTCTGCTTTTGTAAAATGAAAGCAGCCATATATAATATGTAAACAAAGGGATATAGCTGTATTCCAATAAAACTTTATTTATAAAAGCAGGAAGCCACTTGCAGACTATAGTTCTCCTAGCCTATGCTTATAAATAAATCTCAACTATGGCTACATATTAGAATCACTGAGCTTTTAAGAACTACTGGTGCCTCATTCTCAGATAATCTAATTAAATTATCCTGAGAAGGGCACCTAGTAGGTCTTTAAAATTTCTCAGCTGATGCTAATGTGCAGCAAGTGTTAAGAACCATGGATTTATGATCTTTTTTAAAATTGATAATAATTGTACATATTTACAGAATACAATGTGGTTTGCCTGTATAAGATGACAATGTGTAATGATTAAATCAGGTTGATTAGTATATCTATCTCAAATTAATTATCTTTTTTCCATTTTTCCTCTATTTTAATTAACAAATATATTTATGAGGTTCAGTGTGATGTTCTGATCTATATACACATTATTGAAAGATTCAGTAAAGCAAATTAACATATCCATCATCTCACCAAATTATTTTGTGGTAAGAACACTAAGAATCTATTTTCTTTAGCAAATTCGAAATATATAATACATTATTATTAATATAATCACAATATAGTAGAGTGGATCTCTAAAACTTATTTCTCTGTCCTAACTGGTGTACCCTTTGATCAACATCTTCCCTTTTGTCTTCCCACCCCTAACTTCCCCACCCCTCTCCTCAGATAACTACCCTTCCACTTTCTGTTTCTATAAGATTGAATTTTTAATTCATGGAGGAGATTATGCTAACTGAAATAAGCCTAGCACAGAAAAACAAATACTAAATAATCTCACTTATATGTGGAATCTTAAAAAAAATCAATCATATAGAAACAGAGAGTAGAATGTTAATTATTTTTTCTTTTCTTAGACAGGTCTCTCTGTTGTGATGCTCCTGACTCAGCTTCCCACCTGAAACTACAGGCTTGTGCCCTCACATCCAGCTTATGTTTAGACAGGGTTCTACTGTGTTGGCCAGGACAGCCTCAAATTCAAAATCCTCTTGCCTCAGCCTCTCACATTGCTAGGATTAAAGGTGCACACCACCGTGCCTGGTCTCTAGGTCAGACTGGGAATCAAACTCAAGCCTCCCACATGGTCCAACCTGCAGAGCACAGCATCTTAGCAGTACATGCCGCTGTGACTAGACCTGATTAATAATCTTTTGAAGAGGAAAAAAGGCATTTCTGTAAACCATGCTAGGCACATGAGATAAAAAGACAAATAATTGCATAGTTCTACCCTTTAAAAATTAATCTAGTGAAGTAATAGATACATAAGATTGAAAAATTACAGTAAAATTAAAAATTAATGACCATAGTAAAAAAAACAAAGAAGTGTTATAGACAAAAGGAGTGAGAAAATGAATGGAAATGTAGCTGAGGAAGGAATGGACAGAAGAATAGGAGAATGGGCTAGGTATGAGAAAGTATAAGCAGGGTAAATAACAGGGCAGTTTAAATGCATTAAAGGTGTAAGGTTTTAAAGAAAAACACAAAACTGTCATTATCTGTAAATTAAATTATTTTCTACACAAGAAATAAAAAATATTAAAAATAATATATTGGCAAAGCTGGCTCGTAGATCAGTATGAAAGTCAACTGATTTTGTATGAGAGAACTACAAAAAGATCATAGATATAAATGGAATTAAAGTACAAGTTTATTTTTGAGCAAAAAAATTTGAAATCCATGTAGTATTTTCCTAATATACATTTTCCAGGAACTTTTGAAGGCCCTTTGTACACTCCAATAATTTTTTTTACTTTAAATGTATTTATTTTACATTCATTCACTAAACAGTATACGAAATGTGATTTCCCATCCAGAATACACTGTATAGTGACTTAATCATACATATTATCAACAAATAATTTTCCATTTCTTGTTTTTTTTCCCCCTATTTCTTACCCTCAGCCATTTCCCATTCTTCTCCCATCCTGTCTCTGGTATCTACAGTTGCTTCCCATTTCTTTTTTCTTTCCTACATTTTGTTGATTCACAAAATATCCTAATTACACTAACTACTTTCAATAGCAAGTTCAGCTGATACATAGATGTCTCTGAACACAAGTCTGACTTTAGGTATGAAACTCTGTGAGTAGAATAGATATACTATAAAGTAGCACCTGGATGAGGCTATATAGCTTACTGTGGTCATTAAATAGGTATTTTTAATTTCAAGAAAGGAAGTTTTAGCTTTAATAAGTCAAAATTAAAAAGTTAAGAGTACTTTGCTTAAGACTTAAAGCCAAGAAACAGGTTAGGAGTCTGTTCATACAGTAGGTATATAAACCTATTGGTTCATACTCAAGAGAAGACAAAAATCCCCAAATCTTGAAAACAAAGCATAGAAGAAAATCAGTAATGTTTTAGTCAGAAGTCATAAAGTTCTATTTCACCAGTTCAGCCTCATGTACTTAATGTATCTTCTGTTGTGGCCTGATCTTTTTTTTTTTTTTTAAGAGATT